GTTGTCATAGTAACCGGTCCCTCTCAAGTTTCAGCTGACAATTGATCAATTCTGCGGCGGAGGGAAGGCAAGAGGACTGGTGTCCAAGTAACTCACTTGGAAATTCATTAGGCAAAATATCCCTTGTATATTTGGATTTTTTTTGGACTGTTGGCTTAAGGACCCCACACTACACAACTCTCTATTCTTCCTCTCGGCAATACAACTACAACCAAGAAGGAGAAAAAACTTATAAATTATAATTAATAGAAAGTGGAGTGGGGGACAACTATTATTTTATAGTTTTAACTAGTTGGCGATGCAGCGCCTTGTCGCGGGCGGAGATGGACTATGGGCATGTAATATGTGGCCCGTTATAGTGTTTTGTTACTATTATTAGTCTAAAATTAATTTTTTTAACAGTTTTGTTAGTAATATTGACCGAGAAAAGATATATGGCGGTCAACATCTAATTTAATTTTTTTTTGAAAATTTGGCTAATAAATGAAATTTACCTAAACCCAAATAGACCCACTGATTATGGTTAGGATATGTATGACTTATATATGGGTGTGGAAGTTTGTAGATGGGTTTGGGTAGCGTATGGACATTTACTTTCATAATCTAAACGTGTATGAGTTGGGTATGGATACCCATTTATTCGAGGGTGTGTACTTCAAAAGTTTATGTACCAAAATGTAATACATTGAGATACTAAAATGCAATGTTCCATCAATATTTTGAGGACTTATATTCCAAAAATATAAATTTAGGTTATAAATCTAAATACCTATTAAGTTTAGGTGTCGAACTATGATTTGCATAGTTGGGGCTTAATTCCTTTTATGGTGATGTATTTAAGATGATAATTATTTACTTTTTATAGAAAAGAGGAAAATATTTATTTGATATGTATAATTGTTGAAAAATTCATGTATAATTGTTGAAAATTCTAGCCCGGTTGAAAAAGAAAAACTCTACAGAAAAGAAAGGAATACAAACTGAAACTCGCTTAAAATTTCACACCTTCAAATCTCATAGTGGAAAATGATGACTTTTTAATAAGTAGTAACCATATATATTTATTTTTAATTGGATTCGACATTGAGCTGAAAAAGTTAGCGGTTCATGGTTCAATTATTAATTCTCAAGACTGTTGGTCAGTCGTGCACGGACCCGTTCATACTTGTGATTAGAATACATAAAAACATTATACTAATTAGGATTAGACGAATAAGGCAAAGAAAGAAATAAAGAAAAGATTATGGAAGGCGAGTGAAAAATGTAAGGAAGATGAAGTATATGATGGAAAAGTTTTGAGCAATTCTTTTATTTGGCTGTCAATATAACAGTCAACTCTTTTCACCGTATCAATTTATTCACACTTGCTTATGTAGATTTCGCATATTTTGTTACATGTAGTTAGTAGAAGTTTTTTAGTACCCCGAAAATGTACTAAATGAGTTTATAAATCGGCTCTTGCAATATTTTATAGTCGTCTCTCTTTTATCATTTATTTAATGTCTTTTGTAATGAGCAGATATAAAATGGTCATATCTCCTACAGTTGAGTTATACAACATATTGTACGATACAAACTAAATTTATACTTTTATTTTATGGTTGACTGGATTCATCGATTGGTTGAACATGATTGGTGGATCCGGATTCATGGATTCAATTGAAATCTAAACATTGGACCAATATGTAAATTTAAAAAATTGTACATATGAAATCTCATAAAATTTAGATATCAAAACATAATTGTTCAATAATTTTACACTACAATTAAATTTAGGGTATCAAAATATAAAATGTACATTCTAGTGAATAAGTTGTGATTTAATTAAATTTGGGGTATCAAAATGAGATTTTTTAGCCAACAGTTGAGTGATACAACATATTTTATGATACAAACTAAATTTATACTTGTTGATTGGATTCATGGATTGGTTCAACAGAATTGGTAGATCTGGATTCATGGATTCAAGTGGAATCTAAACATTGGACCAATATGTAAATTTAAAAAATTGTATATATGAAAATCTCATAGATTTAGATACCAAAACATAATTGTTCAATAATTTTACACTAAAATCAAAATTTACGGTATCAAAATGTGAAATGTACATTCTAGTGACTAAGTTGTGATTTAATTAAATTTGGAGTATCAAATTTTAAAATCCCAAGTGTTTTTTGCTAGTTAACCGTAACTCTATTCCTCTCTCTTTTCATTTGCAGAAACAAACAAAACAAGTTTCGAAATCGAATTAGCGACGAGTGGTTGAATAATTGCTTAGTAGGGTATATAGAAAAGGATGTGCTCAATAGTGTAGACCCTGAATTTGTTGTACAATGTTTTCAGAATATGAAATTACGTAGTGGTTCATTGTAAAAATAAACAAATGTACCATATGAGTATTATATTAAATTACATATTTCACTTATCGATCTTGTTAATTTTTTTCTTCATAGTTTTGTGATATTAATTTTTTTAGGACCCCGATCAACCGAAAGTCTTGCTACGCCATTGGATTAATTGCTGCGCTTAATTTTCAGCTGAAAAATGTTATGTTGAATAGTAGAAGTGCTCCTAAGTAAATGATTCTTCTCAGGAAAAAGAAGAAAAAAAAGGAATAAGGGAGAGGAACAAAAAGACTATCAAATGGCGGGAGTACCTGTCTCAATCGGTCAGTGCTGTCTGGAGCGTTGTTACAACTTGCAAGTCATTACCATGGCTGGCTTATATCTCATGGAGATCATAGACGTAATCAAGTAAAGTGCATAAGTAGGCAAAGAATAATAAATTTCGCGAAAAGATTACAGGCCCCTCCTCATCTCATGACTTAGCTTGGCGACACGTTGAATGGATCTACGTTTGTTTTCTATATATGCATATCCTGCTATTTTGAGAATAAGAAAAGAAAAATGGATAAAAAAAAGTTAATGTTTATTTTTTATTTAATTTTTTATAAATTCTTTTATATTATTTAAATTTATCGAAATACTAATAATTATTCAAATGTTGACTTTCAATTAACAGTCTTATTAGTAATATTGACTTGGTAACATGATACTAATTTGGAAGAAACACATTAACATCATTCTAAACTTTTAGTATTTTAACTAAGAAAAAATTATAAAATTATTAACAATGACGTAAAAAGGTTAATATTTTTATGAATTACGAAATATTTTTCTAATTAATAATTTTTTAATAGATTTGAAAAATATAAAAAAATTTGAAAAAAGTTGAAATAAAAAATTGACATTATCAAAAAATAAAAAGCGATTACGAAACAAAATGAAGAAAGAGGGCCCGGCCAGGGGAAAAGGGAAGAATGGAAGATGGGAGGAGGTGCACACTCCACACGTATGGGAGTGCTTCACCACAACTTTAATTTTGATGCAGCTAGGACTAGGAATCTAAACGTACAACATTGGTCGGACTCAGGAGTGGGAGGTAGGGCAGTTTTTCAAGCAGTAGTCAGAAATTTGAATGTAAGGGATTAATTCGAATTGTTTAATTTGGATAGGAGGGCTAAAGCTTTACCAATTATTTTGTCTTCTAAATTTGTGAAAAATTTACCTATAAATTTATCTATATTTTAATAATTGATAGGGACTATAGCCCCTGCTAGGTTCAACCTAATTCTAGTTTTTAGGGTCCGCCTTGAGGGTGTGTTGGCACGCCCTCCGGGCTCCGGCATAGGGCCTTCAAATTTTGAGGGCCTCCGGACCTCCATCGCGTATATGACTAATTATATTATTGGATTTTGATTATGAATTTAAAATTATAAAAAATTTGTGAATTGTGTTTTGATTATGTGCCTAATGCAATAATATTACAAAATTTAAGAACTAACGGATCACATTATGGGAAAATTTGTTTTCTTAATTATTAATTTTTTTCAAACCATATAATAGAACTCATATTTTTCGTATGTTTCCTAAATATTATAAAAAATGTAAAATTGGTGATGCCTAATTATTAGCATTATTAAATTTGTTTCTTTAAATTTCTTCATTTGTCAACATTCCAAGGAGAAAAATAATAAATTAATCTGTTTGTACTAGCAAGGGTGTAATGCTAAATTAATTAAATAATCCATATTGATTTATTAAATGTTAACCGGAATAATTAGGTACAAACCTCCAATAGCAGAAAAGAAAAAAATAACTAAATAAATTATAAATGGGTTGTACCATACTTAATTTTAGACTAAAAAAATTAACAGTTTATCCTATATAATTTAGTTTATTCTATTATTTGTTTATACTATTTGATTGTTCTAAAATTATAATAAATTTTTTACTTAAATCTTACTATTTAAATTATTGTCACTCTTTATTAAAAATAAGATAATATAGATATTTTTCTTAAATAATGAAATAATTTTTATTTATCGATTGATGCCTTGTTTATATTTAATTTTATATTTTGAAAAGAATAATATGTGCAACATTTTGTTTAGAGAAGAAGGTATCCAAAATCTGAGGGCCGGCCCTACCTAACTCCACCACTATTCTGTTGTGGAGGCAGACATGCAGAGAGACAGCTGAATCTGTTCTGTTGACGACAAAGACCAACAGGATGAGAAGATAACAAAATAGAAGGAAGGAAGGGTAGCTAGCTGCTTTTTCTTAGCTTGGTTGGTTGCTTGTAAACCAAAAGGCATATACTTAGCTTATTCTACTACTAGTAGTAGTAGTGTAATATATATAATTAAGCGATATGTAGATGCCATTCTTGTGGTCCGCCCAGGCTGCTGCATGCGTCAGTCAGTCTATATAAGCATGCTAGCTAGCTGATTCCTGCAGGCAAAACAAACGCAGTAGGAAAGGCAAGACGAAAGCAGAAAGCTAGCTAGCTAGCTAGGGATTCATTCATAATACTCTACTACTTACGTGCCTAGCTACGTACGTACGTACGTACACAGATAGATTAGATAAGAAGTAATTAATTATATATGTCGAGGTCGAGGGAGAGGGATCCGCTGGTGGTAGGGCGGGTGATCGGTGATGTTTTGGAGGCTGAGGGTGAGCTACGTGAACAACAGGGAGGTGTACAATGGGTCCGAGCTCAAACCTTCTCAGGTTGCCAACCAACCCCGCGTCCACATTGGCGGGGACGACCTCCGCACCTTCTACACTCTGGTTCGTCGTATAATATTAATATATTAATAATAATAATGCTTACGTAGTACCACTAGCTATGAACCTGGAGGTCTCAGGTTCAAGTCCCTTAAATAGTACCTAATAATAAAAAATTAACCTATATCACCCTTATCTAAAAAAAATAATGCTTCCTGCATGCCTTCTACCTTATAGTTATCATATATACGTTTTGCAGGTTATGGTGGACCCGGATGCGCCAAGCCCCAGTGACCCTAACTTGAGGGAATACTTACACTGGTAATCGAAATTCCCCCATTTTTCTGCAATATATTATTCCCAACTGATTGTTCTAATTCATACTACTTTGTATTGATCCACGGTGTGTCTAGCTTTCTATATAGCTGGAATCACTGACATCTATATTAATTTATAGAAGAATTTTACTGAAGCAAAACGTTAACTAATTATATATATGTCCCTCTGCTTAATTTCTTACTGCAGGCTGGTGACAGATATTCCTGCCACTACTGGGGCAACCTTTGGTAATTGCCAAAAAACTCGATCGTAGCCTTTCAATGGTAGGCTTTGGATAGACTAAACAATAACAATACTAAGGATGGTGGTAAACGTAAATGTATGCATGCTGATGCAGGGCAAGAAGTGGTGTGCTACGAGAGCCCTCGGCCGTGGGTGGGGATTCACCGCTTCGTATTTGTACTGTTCCGGCAACTGGGCCGCCAGACGGTTTACGCGCCCGGTTGGCGCCAGAACTTCAGCACCAGAGACTTCGCGGAGCTATACAATCTGGGCCTGCCCGTCGCTGCCGTCTACTTCAACTGCCAGAGGGAGACCGGCTCCGGGGGAAGGCGAATATGAATATGATCCATCCTTCGTACCCATGCATTCGCCTCCTTCCCGCCGGCCGCCCAGCCTAGACCACACGCAATAACAAAAACAAAAAACAGGAATAACTATAATGTTGTCCTCTCCCGCAAGCCAGGCGGGAAGGCAGCTGCTAGTTAAACCCCGGGCCCGGGGGTTACTGAATAATTAGTCAGATGTGAAGACGCATACCGAAAAGGTTACTAGCTACATAAACATGATAACCATACTCTCCCCCCTACATATACTAGTCCTACAAAGATATCAACAGTCATATTGTAATTAATCATATTAATAATAATAATTTATTATTATATTAAATAAAATATAAAAAAATCAGACAGATTATTATATAGAAGGCATGTGTGTCTACTGTCTAGCCAGTCATGATAAAGTGTACACTTCATCATGAAAGGTTTATGGACAGATTTACGTATGTGTATACTATATATGTATTCGGAAATTAAACCATTATGAGTGCTCCAGACATCGGAAGTGAAAGGCAAATGGAATTAAATGAGAAGTAGCATAAGTGTTAAAAATAGCAATAAACAATTATCATTGTATAATTAAAGAGAAAAAATATTATATATCGTTGTTGATGCTTCTACAAGATTTTTCTCTGTTTTTCTGTTCTTGGTAAATGTAGGGCTGGTGATTCGGGTCTAATTCTACACATTTTACCTTTCATTTCTAGATAGTAGATTTTGTATTTCGTCGTCTCTCGACTTATTTTATGCTAGGTTGTGTTATTTTTTATACATTTCAGGTCCTAGCATGTGTGGGAAAGTCGAGAACGAGTTTCAGGACGATTAAAGTCGATAAAGCGCCAAAAAATGAAGTGAAGTGAAGGACAGTCCAAGGTCATGGGCAGAGGTCAAATGTCACGGTCACTAGACCGTGACAATTTGTCATTGTGCTTGACATTGACAAGTTTCAGAACGCTTTGCGCACCTCACTGGACCCCGAATGTTTCACGGTCAACTGACCGTGAACATCACCTAGTGACTGTGAATTGGGACAAAAAAAATTGGCCAAAATGGTGCGTTTTGGTCCGATGTCACGGTTTGTGGTTAAATATCACGGCGTGAACAGTGACCGTTAAAAGCGTGTCGGGCTGTATAAATAGAAGGCTGCTGGGAGAGAGAAGAGAGAGCTTTTTGGAGAGAGATTTTGATAGGTTTTTAGTTTGCAGAATAAAAGGGAATTTCTAGTAAGATATTAGGGTTTCTTCTTCATATGCTACAGAGAGAAAGTGTCATTCAAAGGAGGAAGAAGGATATTTGGGCTTGCCCTAAATTAGAGAATTGAAGGTTTCTTCTTCTCAAGGGAGATTCAAGCAACAAGGAAGGAATATATTCATCTCTTCATGGTTCTTTCTCTCCATTTTGTTGTTTTTCTTTGCCTAACTATGGAATAGCCCACCTACTCACTTGAGTATTGTGAATCCTAGTCTAGATGTGTGTTAGGATGTAAGAAAATGATTATGTTGTAATGATTGTGTGTTTTAAATAATATTGAGGTATTAATCATGAATGATTGAGTGTTGCTTGCATTATCTCATTATTGGTAAAATTAACCTAGAATGTGGAAATTCCCCTTTGGCCCATAGGGAGCTTGATCTCCTAGCCTCTTGGGTAACCCCTTTTGGGTTAATCTAGGGCCAAAACCTCAAGTATCGGAGTAGGACCATGATCCCATCATGATTGGTCTCTCTCCGCCATCCGGATTGACTTACGAGGGTCGGGTTTTGCAATCCTTAGTTGATTAGCTAAGAGGGCTAGATTTCCTAGCCTATTGTTGTCATCCTTAGCCGAAAGGTGAAGAGATTTAGTCTACTAACTTAATAATGCAACAATCCTTAATTGGTCAACTAAGAGAGTTAGGGTTTCCTCGGTTCTTCCGATTAAGAGAGCTATGCCTCCTAGCTTATTATTGCAATCCTTAGCGGAGCAATTAAGAGAGCTAGGTTCCCTAGTTTATTATAGCAATCCTTGATTGGTCGACTTGGAGGGCTTGTTCCTAGCTAGTTGCACCCACTTCGCGGTATATGAACACATCCTTCACATTAGAGTTTTTTTCATGGTTTCTTAATAGAAGACTAGGGGGTGCAATACCCGAGTCAAGTCCTCTCACATAAAATCCTCATCATTTCACTTTCCTTGCTTGTTTTCATTTGCAGTCACTTTAGCTTTAAATAACCAAAAACCGTTTTGCTAGATAACAACCTAAGCGGATGAAGTAGGGGTACATAGACCGACTCGAGTTTGACTTTTAAAACATACTTTCCCTATATTGCACCCAGTTAAGGTTTATACTTGGGCCTTAATTGGAGTTTTTATTGTGATATTAGGGACAAGTCAAGTTTTTGGCGCCATTGTCGGGGACCTACGGTCCATTATTTTGAAAAAGTCGTTTAGTGTTACTTGATTCGGGCCTAATTGCACACGTTTTGACCCTGTTTTACTTAGATGTTTGTGCCAAATTCGCTCCTTAAAGGTCGGTTTTATGCTAGGTTCTTCGTTTTTAGTGTGTTTCACGATTTAACAGGTGATACCAGCCTCGGAGTCGAAAGAGTGGCGAAAAGGATCGAAAACTGGGAGAAGGGGTGAAAAAGTGCCTGTTCACGGTTAACTGAAGGAGTTCAAGGTCATGCAAGACCGTGAAAAAGGAGACTTGACCGTGAAACGCGAGGCTTCCAGAGCCAATGTGAAGGTTATTAACGCAAGGTGAGTTCACGGTCACTAAGACCGTAAACACAAGCAGTTGACCGTGAACTGACGTGAGCCATGCAGAGCATTTTGGCGTGCGGATTGAGTTTACGGACGCATTTGATGGTTCACAGCCGTGAACTCAGGTCGTGAACTCATCTCTTCTCGGGTATAAAAGCTGAGCTGCAAGGAGGAGAGAGGGAGAGCCCACTTTTGTGAGAGAAACACCTTCTTCAGCATTCTAGTGAGAGAAACAGAACAAAAGGGAAGAAGAAGGTTAGGGTTTGGCTTCAAGGCAGATTTTGGGAAGATTTCCCCAAGGAGATCTCGGCTCAAGGGTCAAGAAGACCTTTTTCCCTTTTGTTCTTCCCACTTCTACCATGGAGTAGACCTCCTTTCACTTGGGTGTAGTGAAACCCTAACTCTACCATGTAGTTTTCTTGTATGTGGTTTGGATGATTGATATTGGGTATTGTTCCATTCAATGTTTGAGGCATTTTTCACCATGATTATGCATGCTTGTGCTTAGCAACTTAGGAGTTGTGCATATTTTGTGCTTAGCATCCTAGGGATTGTGCATAATTGTGCTTAACACCCCTAAGTTTGTGCATTTAGGTGCTAGTAATCTAATTTGCCACCTTAGCCTAGTTTAGAGAGGAAAATCCCCCTTTCAAGGGAGACTCAATCGAGTTGGTTTTCCTTCCGCTTTCTAACCCACCTATACTAGGTTGAGTTAGGGCAACCCTCAATGTTGAAGTAAACAAGTCGATTAATCGTGGTTAAACCGTCCGACCTTCGAGTTGAGTGAGGAAGTAAGCCGATTACCGATTGTCTAAACCGAGAGGGTCGAGTGACACGACCTTTCATCCTCACCTCGGTTTAGAAATTGAGACTGTGGTCTCCGACCACATACGCTATCCTTTGCGGTTCACGATTAACGTGCCCAAGGCAGTCGTTCCAATCCACGTAGCATGGTAGCGGTTCGGGGGAAACGAAACCCGAGTGACTTTCCCACAAAAGAGTTTTCAAACCAAATTACATTTGCTTTCTTTCATTTCAATTAGAAAACCTTTAAACAAAAGTTTAGTTGCTAGATAATGATTTCAACAATGGAAGTAGGGATAGACGGGTGCCCGGGTCGATATCTAAATACTTGCCCTATACTGCACCCGATTAGAGTTTAGAAACTTGGGCTCTAATTGGGGTTTAATTGTGGTGTAGTTCCGTGCGAGTCAAGTTTTTGGCGCCGTTGCTGGGGAACACGATCTGTTATTATGAAAAAGTTGTTGGTTTTTAATCTAGCTTTTAGTTTCCAATTTTGCAAGTGTGTGTGTTCTTTGCTTGTGCTATACTTGGTGTTTTCCGATTGTGTGTAGGAGGTGCATGACCCGGAGCAACCTGGCACCCTTGCTACCACTTGACGAGGACATTAACTGAACTCTCCGACTTCTAGCAAGGGAGAGAGAGCTAGACGAGGCAAGGAGAAGGAGTGAAAGAGGGGGACAACAATTGAGTCCCGGTGTTAGTGGAGAAGGAGTTGAAGAAGTCGAAGTTGAACCCGTCATTGAAGAGGAGATGTCGGGGAACCAATTTTGAGATCAAGCCGGCTCTAGTGACTATGATACAAAGTAATGCTCTCTTCTAAGGCCATGAAAGCGAGTCACCAAGAAAGCACATGCAGAGATTGTTGGAGCTCACGGGGAGCTTGAAAATTAATGGTGTGCCGGCCGAAGCTTTGCAGCTAAGGCTTTTCCCATACTCACTCTCGGGGAAGGCACTTAGGTGGCTAAACAACCGCCCAACTCGGTCTATCACCTCATGGGACGACCTCCTCAACAATTTTATGGCTCGTTATTGCCCGCCTTCGAAGACGGCAGAGTGGAGAAAGAAGATTACACATTTCGAGCAAGAAGAGGACGAAACCTTGAGGGATGCTTGGGAGAGGTACTCCGATTACTTTCTTCAGTGCCCTCACCACGGGTTTGAAGAACAGTTTCAGATTGAAACCTTCTACGGAGGCCTAGTGCAAGAAGATAAGATACTCATTGAATCCTTGTGTCAGGGAAGTTGATGAATATGGCTCCGCCCCAAATAACCGAGATCCTAGAAGACATGGCCTTTAGGGGGTATGATTGGGGGTTGACTAGAAGTGGAAGAAGAAGCAATGAAAGGAGAGTGAGAAGCGTGGGAGCGAGTGCTCCATTTGAGGAAAAGTTGGATAAATTGCTTGAGGTTATGCTTGAAGATAAAAAGCAACGAAAACGGGCGGTAATGTCGTGCGAC